ACAAACGTAAATACGTGGAAGATTTAGCGATGACAGCGGAAAAGGCTGCAAGAGAGGGAAACATGAGACAGCTGTATGATACAACAAAGAAACTTGCTGGAAATTACCGTCAACCAGAAAGACCAGTGAAAAACAAGGAAGGCAAAGTAATCAACGATATTGAAGAACAACGAAACAGGTGGGTAGAACACTTCAAGGTACTCTTGAATCGACCAGCTCCACTGAACCCACCCAACATCGAAGCAGCACCCACAGACCTCCCAATCGATATTGGCCCACCAACAATTGAAGAGATCAGCATGGCCATTAGACAAATCAAGAGTGGCAAAGCAGCGGGACCAGACAACATCCCGGCAGAGGCACTGAAAGCAAATGTAACAGCAACTGCCAAGATACTCCACATCCTCTTCGGTAAGATTTGGGACGAAGAACATGTACCAACAGACTGGAAAGAAGGACTTCTCATCAAGATACCAAAGAAAGGCGATCTGAGCAAGTGCAACAACTACAGATGCATCACTCTCCTCTCAATACCAGGAAAAGTCTTCAACAGAGTATTGTTAAACAGGATTAAGGATTCCGTGGACGCTCGACTTCGAGATCAACAAGCTGGATTTCGTAAGGATAGATCGTGCACAGATCAAATCGCAACTCTACGTATCATTGTGGAACAATCAATAGAATGGAATTCATCACTGTACATCAACTTCATCGACTACGAGAAGGCATTTGATAGCGTGGACAGGACGACACTATGGAAGCTTCTTCGACACTACGGCGTGCCTGAGAAGATAGTCAACATCATACGGAACTCCTATGATGGACTAAACTGCCAAATCGTCCACGGAGGACAACTCACCGACTCGTTCGAGGTAAAGACCGGTGTTAGGCAAGGTTGCCTACTCTCACCCTTTCTCTTTCTCCTGGTGATCGACTGGATCATGAAGACGTCAACATCTGGAGGAATGCACGGGATACAGTGGACAGGCAGGATGCAGCTTGACGATTTAGACTTCGCGGATGATCTGGCTCTTCTATCACAAACGCAACAACAAATGCAGGAGAAAACGACCAGTGTAGCAGCAGCCTCAGCAGCAGTAGGTCTCAATATAAACAAAGGGAAAAGCAAGACTCTCCGATACAATACAATATGCACCAATCCAATTACACTTGACGGAGAAGCTTTGGAGGATGTGGAAATCTTTACATATCTGGGCAGCATCATTGATGAACACGGTGGATCAGTTGCAGATGTGAGGGCGCGGATCGGCAAAGCAAGAGCAGCATACCTACAGCTGAAAAACATCTGGAGCTCAAAACAATTGTCAACCAACACCAATGTTAGAATTTTCAATACAAATGTCAAGACAGTTCTTCTGTATGGGGCAGAGACGTGGAGAACTACGAAAGCCATTATCCAGAAGATACAAGTGTTTATTAACAGCTGTCTACGCAAGATACTTCGGATCCGATGGCCAGACACTATCAGCAACAAGTTACTGTGGGAGACAACAAACCAGATTCCAGCGGAGGAAGAAATCAGGAAGAAGCGCTGGAAGTGGATTGGGCACACTTTGAGGAAATCACCCAATTGTGTCACAAGACAAGCCCTCACATGGAATCCTGAAGGTCGAAGGAGAAGAGGAAGACCAAAGAACACATTACGCCGAGAAATAGAGACAGACATGAGAAGAATGAACAAGAACTGGAAAGAACTAGAAAAGAAGGCCCAGGACAGAGTGGGTTGGAGAAAGCTGGTCGGCGGCCTATGCTCCATTGGGAGTAACAGGCGAAAGTAAGTAAGTAAGTAACCTTCAGTTTTAGTTCCGTAATAATCAATTTCGTCTTCAGTAAATGGATGCTCATGCTATTAAGAATCATTTCATAAAACAAGTTTTCTGATTGAAGACAAGCGAGAAAGTGAGACTAAAATTTCAACTCAACTAACAATAAGACGACGACAAAGAAATGTCGTAAATACAAAGTCAATAATAGAGATATAGTTTGTAGACAAAAACGGAAAATAAAGATTTCCATGAAAATAGCAGCACATACTAAACAAAGCCACTGTTGTTACTCTTTTGACAATTTTAGCCAAGAAGAATCCAATATCATTTGATGATAGAGGGGATATTGTAGGGGCTGGTACAATGTCAATCCCACATAGGTCATTCTAGCCTCTGGACAGATCGATCTACTCATTTTTCTCAAGCCACATTTTTGCCCTATCATTTATTCGCTTATTAATCCTGACTGTTTTTTATGTGATCGTATGTGTGTTAATTACTTACCCTACTCATTATGTGTCTACAACTTATTTTTGTTTGACTATAAATATCGATTCACGCTTGGTTGAATCAAGTTGGCTAACATGCCATCTCCGTTTCGCTTCCTTCACTCCGTCTCTATGATTGTCTGTGCTGATCAACGATTGTACGAAATATACGTATTTAAAACTTCACTCTGGTATTTGACTTATTTGATTTTGTTATTCACTAACACAATTTAAGTCGATGATTATATACGAGGGTAGCCAGTATGTATATTTCGACAGCAATCATCCGATAACGATCATTCGTTCGATCTAACTGTAGTCAGATATAGAACCACTAAAATACGGCTAGCGATGACTTAATCAATTTCAATGATAACAAATGAAAGAAATCTTTATCCAATCGTATGTGACATACAATTACACCATGAGAAAGAGTAATCCAGTCAATTAGTTATATTTGACTATTTAATATTCAATACTACTCAATTCATTTTATACATACCTGACTAAGTAAATCTTACAAAACAAAACAAATTCTGTATTCAAATATCCGTTTGATTTATTTTTGAGGTCAATTACATTCATATTAATTATGTTTGTTTACTTAATATATATCGTCCGATCCAGGGTTTCAATATCAAGCATAACTCAATTAAGTATTCTTTCTAACTAGTTATTATCACTGTTAGTTTATACTTTTTTTTCTTAATCACTTAGATAAGATTTTCATAGTTGAAATCATGAGTCAATTGAAGCTAAAACACCATCGAAAACCTGGAGGCACAGGACGGCCGTTTCGCCCTATGATGGGACTCCTCAGCAGTGCACATCCACGATCCCACGAGATTCGAAACCAGGACCTAACAGTCCCGAGCCAGAGCCCTTAACCGATAGACCACTAAGCTGGCCGGCATCTAACGGTGTTAATGTCTAACTTCAACTGATCCACTTAGATAGGAATTGGTTTTCTCACAACATTTACAAGCATAAGGCTAGTAACGTTTGTATCTAATTTGGACCTGAATTCAATCATTTATTAACAAGTCATATGATATAAACGACATTTCTTTTTCAAAAAATTATCACTTTTCTATGTTGGAAAATAAACACATTTATTAAAAACTAAGTCAGTGGAGGTGTGGTGTGGGTTACTGATATCTACATAAGTAGTATATGGTGATGGTCAGGTATTGAATGTATTTCAGTAGAAGATCGATAAGGACAGGACGGGAACGGCACAAAACTAGTACGAAAATGCATGAACGATTATAATCGGAGACTATGGAAACGGATATTTGCAGAAGAAACAGTCAAATTGAGACAATTGATTGTTATTTTGCAAATTAACTGTTCACTATATGGTTCTCATATTTTAATGAGATATTGTGTAATGTTTTGCTAAAATACATGCGATTGTCCCCACCCGTGTTTTTATTCACCACAGAGGTATTTCTGTGCATCGTCAGATTGTAATTCATATTTTGACAAATTATAAACTTCAACTACGGAGATAAGAATCATGAAAAATTGGATTAATCAAGAAACATGAATAGTAGATTTGTTAAGAATTATTGATTTCTATGAAGTCTTCTGTTATAATATGAGGCATTAAAGACAGAGACTGATACATAAACTTTCTACAAGTAAGCTCCTAATCGGCGACTTAGTGAGAAGACTAAGAGTAAGAGGGAATTTTTGTTGGTTCAGTTGAATATATATATATATATATATATACGATTTGAAAAACGAAACCAGTTTTCGGCCAATAACATCCACTTATCATTAGGAGACTTCTGATTGGCAATAAACTGACCCTCATTGTATATCATGTTCAAGCTTCTTCAACTAATTTCTAGTGGTTTGATGTTCTAATTTGTGACCTAATCGTTAAAAGTTTAGTAACTGAACCGCTAAAAAATTGATGGTCAGTAATCTCGTTTGCCTTTATATTGATTTCATTTGAGAACTTTTGTTGAATAGCCACTATACTGTAAAATACATCAGGGAAACAACATCAAATCATTCATACATTCTAGATTATATGGTTTACAGATATTCTGTACACTGAGAAAGCAAGATAATGTCAACCGTATTATACATTTGGATATTAAATAATGTTTTTATTTCGTGCATTTACGTTATGTTGCTAGGAAACAGCTTGAAATACAGTTGAAATTGTATAAATAGTAATAATAAGTCTCAGTCGTTATTTTAACTAAATACAGAAGTAAACTATTATTTGTTCTACACTATATTCGAATGTAAGTTTATAACATAATTCTAACGTTTGAAATTAATGTACTCTGTTACTATACAGCGTTCAAATAACAAAATGTTACAGTGTTCATTCAATAAAATAGGATTTTCTACTCAAATGCGGACCATGCTGATCGTAAAACTAATTTGTAGGTCAATTTGCTGATGGTAACTTTTATCTTCGACTACAACTACAAGTGATACGAATTTAGGGTTAAATGTTCACGCTCATGGTCAAATATCCTGAATTCGATTCTCCGTGATGGGGTCGTGAAAGCCCACTTCTGAGAAACAATATAATAGGACTGAATAACAGTTCAGTCCTTCCGGGTTTTCAATAAGGGTCTAGCTAAAATCGATCCTTGATTTAAATTATGAAACTATAATTCTACTTTCATTTTATAAATAAAATTTATAATATATAATGATTGTATTTTCAAAACCATAAAAGACTTTCATTTTCACTTACTTTAGCCTCTCGAAAATGTAATGATACAATGGAGTGATATTGTTCTTGACCTGCTGTATCCCTGCAAAAACATAAAAAATGAGCTCTTTTCTATGCTTAGTAGAAATGTTAAACAGTTTAGCATCAACATTAAGTTTATGAAAGTTCATTTCACCTGAGTAACAACGAAGTATCTGGTGATTATTTAAAGTATTTCAATATACAATTTCTGTTAAAGTTATGAAGACATTTGTCACTTCCTAGTTGAACACGTTATGGAAGGATATTTGAGGGATCTGAAAAGTCATGTGTATTATGGTTAGTTTTGAAGACTTTGTAGGGTGATAAAAATGCCCAAACATCAATTTTTGAAAGTCATTTACACACATCATTTCTTCACAAAACGTTTTTGAGGTGTTACCTCTGTACTTTTATCAATGATTCATTGAATAATTTAGTGAACTAGGAAATTAGGAATTTCAAAATAGATAAAGATTTGTAGACATAACTTCTTTATGTCGACATGGCGTCAACAATAATTCCCCTACAGTTAAAACTTTATCTTCTCAGAGAATCACGTAATAATGATTATAAATATTCTATAGGGTTATTACGACTGTGAGAATGATTTTGATGGAGTTTTGTTCTCTGAGCTGGATGATTTGATCCGACCAAACCATCCAGCTCAGAGAACAAAACTCCATCAAAATCATCCACCTGAGATACGAATCTTCTCCACCAACTGTCAGAAAGATTCAGAAAGAAACCATTAGTGTGAATAAATCCACATTCATCCATATTCCCACAATATTAAAATCAGAAAACTGATTATAAACATTGCGAAAAACTACGAAACCTCAATAGATTTCATCTCCCTTTTAGCTAAATAATTTTGATTTGTATGAACTCTGTTGATTAGCTTAAGAAATGTATTGAAAATTACGCGGTCATTTTAAGGGTCCCTCAAGCTCATCCCTACACTATACTAATATCATGATCTCCACACATCTATCCATGATTAAAACAAAAAACAAGGTGTTATCATGAACACAATTCACATATAAAGAAAAACGTTCTATCTAGGTATAACTGTCAAGTTAACCAGATCTAAGCATTTGTTTTCACTCGAAAAACATTACAACTTCTTATTATATATAGTTTGTATAACATGGAAAATACACGATATAGAACTTACCATACTTCTAATTGTACACGATGATTTTCAACTGTGAATATTCGTTTAATCAAGTCAATACCTTAAATCAACAAGCAAAAATATAAATGATTATGAAATTTGAAAAACTTAAGGATAAAGTTTCTCTTCTATGTTAACAAATTTCTCTAACTGCTTCTAACCAATATTGAATATACGTGGTGATTTGATAAATCATCATCATCATCATCATCATCATCATCATCATCATCATCATCATCATCATCATCATCATCATCATCATCATCATCATCATCATCATCATCATCATCATCATCATCATCATCATCATCATCATCATCATCATCATCATCATCATCATCATCATCATCATCATCATCATCATCATCATCATCATCATCATCATCATCATCATCATCATCATCATCATCATCATCATCATCATCATCATCATCATCATCATCATAAGAGACAATTGTTTCAATCAAGTTTGTCAGTACTTTTTTTCTCTTGAAATTACCGGAGATGTGATCTAAAACACTCAGTTCTTGTGAAAATGTGTTACTTTTATACGAATTGGTTAAAACTCAATGATCCACAGTTCTCACTCCAGTCAATTTATGATATTGGACGGAATGAGTTCATAAAAAAGACCATGGAATGCCCCGGAACGCCCTAGATTGGGGAGAGTCAGCTCTCCCTCTCGAAATGCTATCAAATAGCCACATGCATGCAACCACTGCCAAGGAATTCAAACTCACTGCCTTCTCGAGGTGAGAGTATTGTTTACGAAATTGGGAGGATGAAAAGCAAATGTCCAACGTTTGAACCGAGTTGATAGGTACGGGGAATTCACATGGGGGATTTGAAAAACTCTGGTTCCAAACCCATGATGCACATGGGCTTCAGGATCCTGGGGAAGCGAATGGCGTATGAACCAATCGTTGGTCACCAGGTACCATGGAACTGCATCTCCTGATGTTGCTCCACTGCCTTGTGGATAATACCTTCAGATCAAATGCTCTGGATGTGCCCTCCCCTACGAAAACCACCCACTTCAGTTTGGGCACATAGCCAGTGTCCGAGCCCTCACACAAATCGAATGGTTTATGTGGCGCATATGTATTTGGTGCCTCCTTGTACCAATGTTTATGCGCTTAAATAAATAAATTCAATAAATAAATATTCGTAGCTATCATCTGTTACAAATAGTCTCATTATGACATTGTTGAGTATGAGTAAGAGAAGCAGTGTATTGTTTTACCGATTTATACATTGATATCATTCCCTGTACCATTTGGATTAATGAAGATGTAATTCACGGTAGTATTATTTCAGTTTTTAATCAGTATATTATGAATTTAAGTGTATCTGTTTGAGCAAAAACAGTGCATAGAAATGTTTTTGTTGTGTGACAGTGGAAGCAAAATGTAATTGAAGCGAAAGGTACCCCATTGCACAAGCAAGTGGCTATCAGGACTCAGTAGCTAAGTGAATAACATGATGGCGTTTGAAGCGAATGGTACTGGGTTCGAGTCCCAGGGTGAACATCAACTCCAAGGTGAAGGTACATCCAGCTGACTAGTCCCAAATAGGACGAAATGCGCGTCCTGGATTCCACTGCTAGCCATTATCCATCTTTGCTTATGATTACTAAATAATTCTTATATAATCAGTCCAAAAAATTTTGATTATCAATTGTCCAGTATGAAAAGAAAAAAGTCAATACCAAAATTTATACCTTGTACTTTATACTAAGAAAAATAAACAAACAAACAAACAAACAAACAAAATGAAATCAGCTGATTTAGTAGTTTGTTTTATGCACAAAATAAACTGAATGATTAATTTGCTGAAAACGTTTTAAATTTAAAATCTGTTTTGTAAACTTTTCAGTGATACCATAATAGACAGTATGTTATTGAGATGGTGAAGATTTGTAGCTCAGGTGGGTGATTTTGATGTTGGTTTGTTCTCTGAGCTGGATGGTTTGGTCGTGGAGCTTTCATCAGTATGTTATTACAACTGATCTAAAAGAGGCTAGTATTCATTAGAATATCTTATTGAGAATGTCAATTTGACGATTCTATTTGAAGTTAAACTATCAAAATGTTAATAGAACTGTTTTAGTTTGTTTCATTGCCTCTAAGGAGTCTAAATCTTTTGATGTATTATAGAAATACTGGTACAGGGTTTTGTGAAGATTGTAGAATTTTTATAGTTTAAATAACGAAACGATCTTAGCTAGAGAACTGCTGAGAGCAAAGACTCATTGAAAAACTCTTTTGTCTTAATATGGTTCTCTTCAGGAGTTCTCACCAACGACCTCACGTCAAAGGATTGAGTTCAGGACCTACATTTTTTCTCATTAATACTTAATCCCTAAACTAGTGAGCCAACATTCAAAGGTGTATATATCTGACTAATATAGTGTCTAAAATATTACCTTCAATAATACTTGGACGCCTAAGCAAAGCTCGTGAAAAGCAGACTAGTAAAAACCAGGCTGGTTTTCGAACTGGACGTAGTTGTATAGACTAGATATTCACATTACGTCAGGTCCTAGAACATAAACATACAATCAGACACCCCACAATCGTAGTATTTATGGACCTTAAGGAATCATTTGACTCTGTTGATCGTGAGGTTCTGTGGCAGTGTTTGCACTGAAAGGAGTACCAAAGAAGTACATCAATCGCATAAAAGCTCTCCACTCGAACACAACTGGTCGAGTTAGAGCCTATGGCGAACTGTCATGAGAACTGATTACCTCAAGTGGCGTTCGTCAGGGCTGTCCACTCTCCCCATTCTTGTTTAACTTTGTCGTTGACGTGCTATTAGAAATAACACTTTCATCATCTTAATCTCCTGGAGTTGAACTTTCACCGGGAGGCTCACTTGCTGGCTTAGAATACGCCGACGACATAGTTTTATTCGGTGAAGACGCTGACAACATGCAGAGTCTTCTGACCACTATAAGCAACAATGCAGGCATGTTCGGAATGCGATTCTCACCCTCGAAGTGCAAAATGTTACTTCAGGATTGGGTTGCATCGACACCTGAACTAATGATAGGGAGTGAAGTAGTTGAGCGTGTTGACAGCTTCACTTATCTTGGGAGTCTGATCAGCCCTTGTGGTCTGGTGTTTGACGAAATCTCAGCACGGATACAGAAGGCTCGTCTAGCTTTCGCCAACTTGCGTCATTTATAGCGTAGGCGAGATATCCGTCTAGCAACAAAAGGACGGGTTTACTGTGCAGCAGTCCGTTCCGTCCTATTTTATGGCTGTGAATCATGGCCGGTAAGAGTAGAGGATATTTGTAGGTGTCTTTGAGTCATTGCTCGTATATCCTGTGACCACCGGGTAAGTAATGCAGTCATTAGGAAACGAGTACTAGGTAGGGATGGCAAATCGATTGATGAAGTATATAAACGTGATCAGTTGAGATGGCTGAGACACGTGTTACGTATGCCGAACCACCGACTGCCCCGACGTGCAATGCTTTATGGTGTAGGAGTAGGTTGGAATAAATCTAGGGTCGGTTAGACCAAAACGTAGCACAAATCCATGAAGTCACTGACAAGTGGACTGAGCCATGTTGGTAGGTGTAGACTACCTGATTGGGATCCGCGAAGTGATAGCAATCGATATTTAGAGACCTGAATGACATGGCTCAAAATCGTTTGCAATGGCGAAGGTGCATCCACTCTTTGTGTTCAGCCAAATTCTAATCTTCTGAATTCCACATGCACTTATCAATCTTTTCATTCCAAATTTATTTCACTGTACTATACTCCTTCAATAATTTCTTAAAACCCTAATCTTTTGGATTTCTGATTATACTCCTACTACTTCTACGACTATGGTATTCGAATCGACAACTTCATCTCTGTGCTGATGTGGTATGGCAACTCGAACTGATGTACAAAGTTCTACGTTCTGACTGACTGACTGTATATATCTAACTTTAATCAGTTCATGATACTAACTTGCCAGTTTGATTGTCTAAAGTGGATAACTGTCTCACACTTAAAATGGTTAACGTGAACTATCCATGTTTTCTTATTTGGACTCTATGGACTGCATCATGAAGCTGGTCACTACTGAACACATGATTAGTTATCAGTACAAGTTTTGTGTAGATTGTAGAATTTCCATTGTTTAAAGCACATCCAGTGCCTCCTGATTTACAACAGTTGTCTAGCTAAGATTAAATTGTGATTGAAATTATAAAAACTATAGTACTAATAATAAAACTTAGGCATTGCTACCAAGGTTTGACTTTATATTACAAATATATTATTTTTATTTATCATAATAAAACACATTTGAAATCATGAGTCAATTGAAACTAGACCACTATGGAAAACCTGGAAGCACTGGACGGCCGTTTCGTCCTATTATGGGACTCCTCAGTAGTGCGCATCCACGATCCCTCACCTGCGAGATTCGAACCCAGGACCTACCAGTCTCGAGCCGAAGCCCTTAACCAGGTTTTCGATGGTGGTCTAGTTTCAATTGACTAATGATTTCAACCGTGAAAATACTAAATTCTCCACAAAACCCCCTTTGATAAATAATAAAACAGTTTGGTTACCGTTAACTGATGACAACGCAAAACAAAGTTAAGGTCGTCGTTATTTAGCCATTAGCCATTGGTTTATCACGATGTAATGTTAAAACTGGTCTCGTTACCTCAATATCATGATACACTTTATTTGATTTTAAGTGATTGAAAGTAATTGGCAAAAAGTTATGGGTCTGCATTTCATACTAGTTGGTACTTATTGACAAGGTAATATTTGAAATCTACATGATGCTGATGCTCCTCGTGTGACTCGAATCATTATCATTCAGTATGACAATCAGATGCACTTCTACTGAGTTATTTGAACAGTATTTGATCTTTGAAGAGTCAAACATTTACAAATAAATTGACCAACTAATAGTAACCACTAATACGATTTCAAGACCTAAGTATTTGTCACTTTTTCCCGATCAATATCTAGAGTTTTACTTCAACCATCTATGACCCTATTTGTACATTTTATATTTCATACACAATTTCTAAATTAATGAATGAATTGATTGATATAACTTACCAATTGTTGATATAGTAGTCTGATAAAATGTTTCACCAACAAGTGCTCTAATTATTGATGTTTTTCCTACACCAGAATTACCAAGTAATAATACTTTAAAATTTGCATCAAATCTTTGTTCACCTATTCCTCCACCAGTACCATTCACTGATATTAATGGACTACTTTTTTTTGTTTTTCTCATACCATTTTGTTGTAGAAATTGTTTAACATAACCATTTTGTTTATGTTTTGTTGTTGTTGCTGTTGTTGTTGTTTGATTAGATGGGATTTTAAAATGGGTTGTATTATAAGGTTCAGAACCGTAAATACTTTCATGTAAATCAAATGAGTATGACATTGATAATAGATATAAGTGATTGAATATATATATATATATATATATATGTATGTTTATATTATCGTAGCAATAGGATCATACTCAACATATGATTATTAGTTAACTATTGAAAATGTAAATTATTCAAATGAACGCTGTAATCCATTCAGGTAGTGTAGTTTATGCCTATAAAGCAAAATAGATCAACATTTTGACCTGATCAGTTAAATAGTTCAGTTATTCTTATTGAATAATATTAAAATAATAATAAAACTATATTGTAGTGATAACTATAAATTAGAAATTATAGTTTTTAACTAAAATAAATAATAATCGCATTATTATGACCAAGAATCGAACAAATAAAGGCGAGACTATAATCTGTGGACGAGCCAATCATAAGCGTTTGAAGGATTTCAAGGTCACAGCGCCAATTTCAGTGCCCGATGCTCATGTACGATCGGTTTACAAAGAATTTTAGAGAAGACTTGACAATTAAGCGGCTAGAACAAATGAGACTACTAAGAATTTCCTTTATTTGTGATTGTGGTAATTAAGTGACGTGTAGACGTTGTGCAGACTACCATGATATTGTCCTTCAATGTAATATACGTTGAATGAAGGCGTTTGATAGAATAGGAAGCTTTATCGCTCGATCCAGATTGAGAATAACGAATTTTATAATAACTGCATAATAAAATCACCAGTGACATCGGCTGCGAAAATCGCAGATGTTACTGAAGCTTCGGCTGTTCAGTGGTATGAGTGTTGTGGGGCCATACCCATAATAAAAATGATAAACTTAGTCAACCGAAGTACACGTAAACAATAATGAAGCTATGTGGTTGGGGCTGAGAGGGTTTTTGGGAAATTAACATGGCTGCAGAGACCAACTATTATAGAGCCATATGGATGACTTCCTCTACCTTATGCATTACGATTTTAAAACCTTTGAACCATATAAAAGTATTATTATTATTAGCTTTATTCAATATTATATTATTTGGTACAAAATCGAATTCTCAGCATAAAGTATTTCGACATGTTTACGTTTCTTATTTCTTCGTTGCTCCTGATGATAAACATTCAGTGATCGCCAGTTGGATGTCAGCAGTTCAGTCAATCGACATATGAATAATGTATATTCTTTTTGCTGTATGTTCCCAGCAAACACGACATCTCTGATTAGGCCTTTTGTAACCTTTACAGCGAAAGGTTGTACAGTTTTCAGAAACGCACCGAAATAGGTTGTGTGCTTAATATTGATATATCTGAAGCGTTACGAATTCACTAGTAGCGAACGGAACAAAGACACGTGACCAGAGACCGATAACTAGCTATACTGACGCGACCCAGACCCAGCTAACTAGATGAAGAAGTCCACGGCAAGTAGGGGAATATATATGTATTCCGTAAGCAGCTGAGTACAAGCAATCGAATAAGGGAAAAAGTCAAGCGCAAACAATTTGCCCTTGAGCATCATTAGCAAATAGCACACACAAAGAAACAATGGACCAATAGCGTCTAAGATAGTTTACAAGTGGGAAATATGACGTGACGGTAAAAAGAGCGCGTTTGGCGCGAAAACAGCTAAATTCAAATTTTCAAAATAAAATTACAAAACTAAGCCATTTACCAAGTAAGTTCTGGGGATTTGACATCCCCAACAAATATCCATAATGATGTATTAAAAGAAACAATATTAGATAACTTGTTGAAATATATAGATGACGGGAAACAGGTAGCCCAGATGTTCAAGCAGGCCGCTAAAGAAGTAGTATATCCACTTTAATTATTTGGTTTTGTATAATATATTTTTACCCTATGCTGAATGTTTATTGATTGACTAATGTTTCTCAAATTCACTTAAGATTTGTTCAAAGGTAGTCCATAAATTATAGTCTCGCCCAAACAAGAAATAAGAGTTTTCAAAAAATCGTTTGAAGATGAGAGAAGAAAAATGGAGGAGGAGAAGATCATCAGGAATTTAGTAATCATAAATGTCCCAGGTGAACAACACAATCTTTTGTATGCATTAACTGAAGTTAAGATGTTAAGTGGAATCTTCTACGTAACATAAAAGTCGGAAGACAATAGCAGAATTTACTAAATGACCAATGTCTAATACATGTATTCCCATGGTATTACTAGGTAGTTTGAAATTACTTACGTTCAAGTGCAATGGGGTGAAGTTAGGTTATACTGAGGCGATACGCACAGTATGCACATATGCCAATTAGAGACTGATCAGTTACAGTCCTATGAACATCAATGGGAAGATCCAAACAAACAGTACTAAGTAAATATGTTGACACTGTTTATGATTGATCAATTCTACCTGATTAAATTCTTATTGATTAAATTAAAGTTTCATTATCTTGATTAATCTATCTAAAATGAACAAATTCCAATAATCTTATATGTCCATATACATGTGGATATGGTTTAATGTAATCCCATTAATTTATGCTCTCTTTTCATTGGTTAACTGAAATAATTTTTGCAACCAAATTTATATTTTTGCAATAAGTTAATTGGTTCAATTTCTTTTCCTAAATAATACTTACTTTCAATTGGTTCAAAAATAATGATTTAATTATTTCTAGTGCATCATCAGTAAAGAAGTGTAAGACCGGTAGATTTTGAAATGATACATTTAAATCTTATAACCATAAACGTATATTTATAGTTGAAAGCGTGAGTCATTTGAAGCTAGATCACCAAGGAAAATCTGGAAGCACTGGACGGCCGTTACGTTTTATTATGGGGCTTCTTAGCAGTGTGCATCCACGACCTCGATTCGCGAGATTCGAACCCAGGACCTACCAGTCTCACGCCAGAGTACTTAACCGATAGACCACTGAGCCGGCATCCCTAGTTTCAATTGACTCATGCTTTCAACTATGAAAATACTAAATCTCCACAAAAAACCCCTTCTGATAATAATAAACGTATATATCAACTACCTAACTAATAAGAAATTAAGAAGTACAGTAAAGCTTTTTCGTGTTACTTTAAGAAAAATGATCTTTTTCAGAAAGTATGAAGTCTAAGCCCTCCCTCACATTTGAAACTTAACTACTACTCCCCAATCTGTGAGAGTTCATGTATTTTTAGAAATAAAATTTATATTATGAAAAAAAAACTATATACATTAGAAAATACCATCACTGAGATGGTGATTTTTGAATTACACCTGTTACCCCTCGTGGAGGAGAATAAGCCGCCCACCAGCATTCTACATCCGACCCTGTCCTAGAAAGTACTTTCCAGTTGTTATTCATCCTTTTCATATCTGCTTCTATTTCCCTACGTAATGTGTTCTTTGGCTTCCGTCTGTAGCTCTTCTAGAGTTACTGCAGGTCCCAAGCCCGTGTAAAGGAGGAGGATTGGGCACAGAGTTAGCGACCTCACCTCATAGAAAACTAACTCGCTAAAAAAAAGCTAACCAGAAAAATGGTGAGTTTTAGCTCAGATGAATGATTTTTATAGAGTTTTGTACACTGAACTGGATGGTTTGAATGATCAAACCAACCCACGAAACTCTACCAGCACTATCATTGAATATTACTGAAAACAAACAAAAAATATTACATTCATAATGATTACCTAATCTACTTAAACGTGAACCAATATTTTGCCTTTATTATTTTTAGAAAAACTACTTTTGATAATGAGAATTTGAGTTAAAAGCCCACATTGCACCACTAATTAATTGGGAGTGTAAGTTGATTTATCCAACCTTAATAAGAAAATAAAACAACACATAATTTGCTGTTTGTTAGCTATTGATCTGCCTATAGCAAATATTTTAATGTTAAACTGAACTTAAGCTTATACACTTTTTAAATGAGTATTTATTTGGTTTTTCACATTCTCAATACTCATTAGCCGGTATCAGTAAATGTATATTTTGAGAGGATTGCTTTGTTATCATTTCTAGTTATGGTTAACTGTGGAATCCAAAGCACGCGCTTCCTTCCATTTAATAGACATGTTAGGCTACATGTTTCGATGTTTCTGCTAGTATTCAAACCTAATATCTTTCTCTCTAAAAGTCGAGGTGTTACTTATGGAGTTATTGAATCCAGAAAGTCACCAAACTGTTCGGGGTGTATTTGTAACTGGGTTGTAAATATATCAAATTGAAGAACTTTAAATAAGATGGAACGAGAATCCTGGATTCCCCTATTAGCCACAACCTAAATGTAGTGAACGAAGAAGTTCGGCTAGGAAGACCAATTTATTAGTTCATACAAAGTTACAGAATATCTTTGTAAAATACGAAAACCATAAATTAAATACTTCATTTGTACATCTCCCACCAGTTATCTCTTACAAACTTCATTGTTCCTCCATTCCGGTTGTTATTGCAAGTACTCTTTGTTTACAGTTCTGTTCTCTTCAATTAAATCTTCTCGACCTTTTAATGCGAGGCATTCCACTTCTGATTGGTGTTACATACTACTTATGTCTGCTGACGTAAGTAGCACCACACAACTACATAGTACTTTATATATATATATATATATATATATATATATATATATATATTGCTTTCCACCTGACATTTCTTATTTTTGTTTGCTGTAATGATATTTCCCTTCTTTTTTAAACATCTTTTCACCGTATTGACTATCAATAGAGACTATACAGGTAGAATCAAATAATATTGATTGGTATGAATCATAGATGAGGCTTTTGGAAAGTTCGAAATCAGTGGATATAAAATAAGAATGATAATATCATATGATTGGATGATATTTACTGACAAGTTATATCAGCAAAAATATAACCAGTAGTACTGATCAGTGACAAAATTTCAGTGGTGATGGAGAACTCCAATAGGTTGATTTAGTGATAATGGAACTGATTGTGATACTGATTGAAAGTGGATCGGAATGGCAAATATAATAATAATAATAATAATAATAATAATAATAATATCTTGCTTGACACTAATACACTACTTAATCAAAAAATATATGAATAGAAAATATACTAAATGCAAGCGCTTTTTTTACATAAAACTTGCATTATAGTTAATTGCATAGTTATATGTACTTGTTCATACAGTGATACAAATGTAGTCACTCTATGTCTTCCTTCAGATCATGAATTTTTATAATAGTCTTAAGTTTCTTATTACACAAATTCATTCATTGTTGTTGAATCATATGATTTAT